CTGAACTGGCACTGTCCACCCCAAAAATGGGACTATTGACCCCAAACAGGGACTGCTGACCCCTAAACTGGGACTGTCGACCCCTAAACCGAGATTTATTGACTCCTGAACTGGGATTTATTGACCCCTGAACTGGGACTGTGACCCCTGAACTGGGATTTACTGACTCGTGAACTGGGATTTATTGACTCCTAAACTGGGACTACTGATCCCAAAACTGGCATTTATTGACCCCTAAAATGGGACTATTGACCCCTAAACTGGGATTTATTGACCCCTAATCTGGGATTTATTGACTCCTGAACTGGGATTTATTGACCCCTGAACTGGGATTTTTTGACCCCTGAACTGGGATTTTTTGACCCCTAAACTGGGATTTCTCAACCCCTAGCCACCCCAAACTGGGGCCCCAAAGCCAGGCCGGGCCATGAGGAGGTGCAGGACCATTCCCAGCTCATTCCCAGCACATTTCCTGGGAATGTGCCCGTTTGGAGAGACAATAAACAGGCATCGGTTTCCTAAGAGGATTTCCCAAAGGAATGAGACTTTTCCTTCCAAAAAAAGATGGAAAGGAGCAGCAGCAGCTCCATGCTGGTGCCAGGAGAAAATAGAGAAATGAACCCCCCCTAAAGCCCCTCGCTGGGTTCAGTGCACTCTGTCTCTCACAGAAATTCTCTTTTTTTTTTCTCTCTGCACATCAGGTATAAACTAAGTTAAAAACAACAAAAAAAATCATCAAACCAACAACAACAAAAAAAAATTATCCCAAACCCTACAAATTTCCAGTGGGAATTCTGCAAACAGCATCGCTCCTCAGTGCTGGGAGATGCCGGTCCCTGCGTATCGCCAGCAAATAAAAATAAAAAATATATCTATATATTTAATTTCTCTCCCTTCCTTCCTCCCACGGCAAAGGTGGGTAAGGCAGGATCTCCCCAGGTGGAGAAGCATCACCTATTCAGGTGCATTTATTTAAATTTATCTCTCTGTATAAAAAAGAAATTAAATCCTGTTAGTAGCAAGAAGGTCTCTCGACCCACCCCAAAATTCCCTTCCCCTTTAACACTCGAGAACTGTCGGCTCTAAAATTAAAATTAAATGTTTTCCATAGGAAAGGCCTACTGGGGAGGAAAAAAAAAAAAAGCTGATAAATAGGTACCTTTGTTTTATTCATCTCTTTTTAAGTCTCATTGAAATGAACAGCGCAAGGGTCTGTGGGAGGAGAAAACCCATCGTAAATACTTCCTTGACGAGAACAAAAATAGAAATATGCTCATGGAAATGACACAGGAACACCTGGAAAAGCTCAGAGGGCTGAGATGCCACCGACCCCGGCAGGGTGGGCAGCACTGGCCCAGGATTCCGGGGACAAATCACTCCCATCTGGTGGCAAACCCCACCAGATGTTGGGATTTTCATTTAATTTCCTTTTTTTTTTTTTTTAATTCTTGAAGGGTTCTGAAAGTTCCAAACAACAGAAAACCCTGGTTTTCAGGGAGTCGTTCTCCTCGGCTCTTAAAAAAAAATTTAAAGTACAAAAATAAAACCAAAATAATAATAAAAAAAGACTATTCCCACTGGCAAGTTACAGCAGGAGGGATCCAACGCCCAGAGACCCTTCCCAAAAATCAATGTACTAAGGCTGCTGCCACAGGGGACAGGACCGGCCCTGGAGCAGAGGGAAATAAAATGCTTTGTGGAAAGAAAGCAACATCAAATAAACTGAACACAACCAGTGTCACATCCCAGGTCCCCACCGCTGGGATAACCCATCCAGGTGCCTCTGCATCGATAAATTCCCCTTTTCATTTGTTCTTTTGTTTCGTTTTTTTTTAAGGAAATGGGGCAAACAAACAAAACAACAAAAATAAAACCGCTTTGGGAAGCAGCCTCCCCCCAGGCCTCCCTGACCCATCAGCAAACTCCAGTGCCCAGCTTGGGGAAAACAGCATTTTTAAAATTGCTTCTTCCTTCCATTCCTGCTTTTCCATCAATCCCCTCCTCTCCTGGCTCGGTTTGCTGCGGGGTCGGGATTATTTTTGTCACTAACCAAGCAGGGGAGGCCAGCGGGGACCCTCTGGCAGCTCCCGAGCCAGGGAGGGATGCCCAGGGAACTCTGCAGCAGCTGAAATGCGGACGAGACCTTGCTCTGGCCAAAACAACAAAAAAAAAAATTAAAAAAAAAAATTAAAATTATATATATATAAAAAAAAAATCAAGTCCTGTGGCTAAAGGAGGAGAGGCAAGGGGTGGGGGGGGATCCCAGGAATCTCAGTAGGGAACCCCCCGGCCCCGGCCACCCCGCGGAGGCACTCGGCCAGGCCCTCGGAACGTCTTCCCGTAGGAAGCCGGCGCCTGGGTTGGGGCAGCCCAGCTGGGACCCGTTCCTGCCCCGCCGGAGCCGGGCGTTCCCGGCCCCAGCTCGCCGTAATTCTGCATTTTGGGCTCGCTGCCGTCGCTCCCCTCGGCTTTGCCGAAGGGCCGCGGCGCGTGGCCGCCGGCGGGGGCTCGGGCGAAGCGCAGGTCCTGGTCCCCCGGGAACTGCAGCGAGCCCGGGTAGCCGCTGCTCTCCCCGAGGTGGCTCACGGAGCCCAAGAAGGTCCTGCTTTTCCCCACGGCTTGGGCAGAAGGTTCTAGAAGAGTCTGGCCCGCGTTGAGCTCCTCGGAGCCGTCGGCGCTGAAAGTCCTGGCGTAGTCCGGGGCCGGCGGCTCCGGGTCGGGCTGGGAGAGGAGCTGGAGCAGCGCAGCCGTCACGGCCGGGTTCAGCTCCTGGGCTGCTCCGGAGAGATCCCCTTCGGCCACGGCAGCGGCAGGAGGCGGTCCGGGGGGCTCGGGGGGTCTCTTCTCTGGTGGGACAAGGCCGGGAGGACACGCTGTGGAAGGGTGACTTCTTTTAAAGAGCGTTTCAAACAGACACAAAGACATTTTTCTAAGCAAACCAAACCAATATCCCCGCCGAGGCCGCCCGCTCTGGGATGCTCTGGGATGAGGCGGAGGGAAGAGTTTGACCGCTGGCTGGGGGAGATCAACGTTCATTAACAACGTTCATTAACAACGTTCATTAACGCTTGCGCGCCCAACTCGCCGGCAACAGCTGTCCTGGGAATTCCCGTTCTGGGAGCAAAGGCTCATTCCGAGCAGGAGGCAGATGTGGAGCCGGGAGAAGTTTGGCCAACCAACCCCAGCCCAGCCCACGGCTGCCAGCTCCGAGTGCCCCGAGGGCAGCAGGACCTGCACCCCTCCACCCACCCCAGCCCTGCTGCCCGACAAGAACCCAAACCAAGCTCGCCCCCCGAAAACTTCCAGACTGTCCTGAGCATGAGAAAATCCTTCTGCTTCCTCCCCCCCTGCCCCTTCATCCCCGAGTTCCTCCCGGGGTTTGTTCCCTCCTGGAAGAACAAAGCTCTGTCACCCCCAGCCTGCGAGGCCGAGGAAGCACAAAGGGCTTGGCTGGGAGGTGGCACAGGGAGCAGTGCCACCGCTGCAGGTGACAGTGACATCCCAAAACCAGCCCTGCCTTCACCTGAGCTGCCTCCTCTCCCTCGCCCACGGGGGGAGGGATTTCTGGCGACGGCAGAGCCCACGGACACCTTTCGTTGGAATCAGATCCTCAAATCACCGGCAAAACTGGTTATTAAAAAGGTCAAACTTTATTGTGAAAACCAGTAGTCTTCCAGGACCACCCCTCCACCCGTTATCCATCAGTCCGCTTTGAAAACTAGATTGTATTGAAATCCGGAAAAATAAAACAACAACGAAAAAAAAAAAAATAAACCAATCTTCAGGTAAAATTTGTAAAGCCAAGCTGATTTGGGGGACAGCAAATCATTCCAAAGAATTATCAACAGAGAACAACGGCATCGAGTTCCATCTGCTCTACAGTAACCTAGTTATCTTCCAGGACTAGGGCAACAACAACAAAAAAAAAAAAAAAAAAAAAAAAAAAAAAAAAAAAAAAAAAAAAAAAAAAAAAAAAAAAAAAAAAGGAGGAGAAAAAAAAAAAAAAGAAACAAAAAAAATAAAAAGCACGATCACAACTGGCTCGTGGTGGGCGGGTGTTGAAGGCACGAGAACACAGCACGTTCAGCTACATTGCAGGAGGTGGGATCGGGCCAAAACAGGCTCCCCGGAGAGTCTGAGACAAACTCAGGAGGCGCTTCTACAATTTGGTGAGGTCGTCACAGGCTGTTGCTAATAAATTCGAAAAAATCAAAAGAAACAAACAAAACAAAACAAAACAAAAAAAAAAGACATGGAGACATTTACACTCACCTTTGGAAAGGAAATCCGAGAGCTCAGTGACACAAGCAGGGTGTTTTAAACTATAAGAAGCAGCAGTTTGGTTCAGCTTTAGGAGCTGATGAGTTTCAAGGCTCAAAAATCAGCTCCAGGTAGGACCAGGCACTTGTGGATGCTCAGGTTTTACCTACACAGCTGCCACTATCCCTCCCTTCAGCGCTCACCACTGTTTCAGCTCTTTCAAATCATCTCTGCAGGTTTATTTATTTATTTAAGAGGGTGGGGAAGGGATGGTGAAAAAAAGCTGGGGGAAAAATGCAGAGGTGCAGCAGCATCCTGTGCAAAAAAACTCCCTGGATGTGCAAACTGATTGCTGGGGGGGGGCGGTTTGAGGAAGAACTGACCCTCTAAATTTCCCTTGCATTTTTGGGCAAACCCAATTCGTCTTCGCAGTGGAGCCCTCATGGATTTTTAGGGTGGTATTTGCCCGTTTTGGGCTGTTTGCAGCTGTTCAACCTCCTGAGCAGTCAGCACTTACCGCAGGGAGGGGATGATCAGGGTGTTCCCTCCTGATGTCCAACCACATCCTACCCCCTTCCCTCCTCCCATCCCTCCAAGGAATCACTCCTGGCTCCCTGCTCACACACAAAAACGGTTTTTATTTCCTTTACCTGTGCTCTCCTCGGGCTGCCTCGTCGTCGTCGCCGGGCTTTTCCTGGGGCCCCTCTGCTCGCTGCTCTTCTCCCCGTTGCTCTCCTCCAGGGTTATCCCAGGCTCCTGGCTCTTCATCAGCTGGCTCAGCAGAACGGCCAGCACGTTCTGCATGTCTCCCTGAGCGCTGGCTGCCTCTGGAGTCTGCTGCTCCTCGGGCACCTCCGCAGGCGGCTCCTCTACGGCTTCCTCCGCCGCGGGCTCGTGGTGCTGCGCCGTGGCCTCGGTCAGGGCCGTGATGGACTGGTTGAGAGCCTCCAGCTGCTGCTGCATCTCGGGGTTGGAGTGCACGTTGAGCAGCTGGGCCATCTGCGGCACGCTCAGGTCGGTCTGGCTCTGCAGCAGGTTCAGCAGCACGGCCAGCTCGCTCTGGTTCAGCTGCTGCGTGATGTCGCCCAGGCCTGCGGGACACGGCGGCAGCGCCGGCGGGGAGGTCAGGGTGGGCTGGGATCGTGGCGTTGCACGGGGTAATGGAGAGAACTTCTCCATATCCCTGCATCCCAGAGCTCCAGGAACAGCCCTTCCCCACATCCCAGAGCTCCAGGAACAGCCCTTCCCCACATCC